AGGGAAGGCAGGGCAGTTATCCTGCCAGGTAGGTAGGCTGGCAGTGATCTGTCTAGAGGATTCCTAAAGACATTAAATTCATTTTACAGTATCCTTTTTAGCCTTTTATAGTGAAAAGCTGTTCATCATTATCATCAAGTTAAGGAATATGGAATAATTTGCATAGAATATTTGTCTTTTAGAGAGTAAATATGCCACAGCTGTCAATAGAGGTCATTCCTGCCCGCTTTTCTGTGTTTTATGGTCTTATATAACAAATATAGACATCATAAGGATACTTATCTTATAATTAACAGTTTGGCTATTCCTTAACATTGCTTCTGTATATAAAAAAGAGACTAAATTGCCTCTTCTCCTACTCCCTTAGAGGTATCTCATTCATTAATGAGATACAAGTGTACAAGGGTGCTCAAACATGAGGAAATTTCCACTGGAGACAACTAACAGGGTAGAGGTAGAAGGCACTTACTTGAGCAAATGGCTGAAGTTCAGCCACTCAGCCCTGCTGCTTTCAGACACAATCAGCTTTGTTTTCAGAGACTGGCACTTGGATGCAACTGAGTCCACCACAGGAGCAAGAGCATGGATTGTAATAACACACCTGGCCTTGGAAGCCAGCAGTCGATGGCAGATGTCAGGTACTGTCAGTTGTGTTGTCCCTGGCAGGATGATAACACCTGAAAGTGCAATAAAATCGGAAATGTTTTAAGTATTTTTCCATTTCAGTACTGATCACTTCACAGCTTTTCCTGATTTGTTGACTACCAGCACCATGAGAAGGTGGTAAAACAAGTCTTACACATCTGAACTTGAACAGAGATGTGCAGACTTGAAGTACAAAATAGCTCCTTTGCTACAGGCACAGTGAAAGTAGGATGCATAACTTTGAGGCAGAAAACTGGCAGCTTTGAGTCTGTCACAGTTAAGTTCATTTAATCCAAGCCACCGAAAGTGAAAGAAAAATGATGAAGGCAATTACAATTGTTAGAGACCATTCCAGTCCCTCCTTTGATTTGTCAAATGCTCAAAACAGTTAAGTTCATTTAATCCAAGCCACCGAAAGTGAAAGAAAAATGATGAAGGTAATTACATTGATGAAGGCAATTACAGTTGTTAGAGACCACCCCAGTCCCTCCTTTGATTGTCAAATGCTCAAGCAAGGAAGTCAAATAAGAAATATAATTGTTAAATGAATTAACTTCTGGCATAGTAGGTAATAAACAATCTACAGACCACTAGGAATTACACAATTCACCTTCTTGAATACAAACCATGCTCAACTGCCACCATTCTGAGATTCGAGCTCCATTGATTTTCATCTCCTTTTCCATTTCTGCTCCTAAAGAAATAAAAGTCTCAACAATCCTCAGGTTTCAGTAGTGCAAGCTCAGATCCATCAAGATTAATGTAATGGACACAGCATTTTGTGCATTTGTTTTCTGTTTTTGACCTCAGACAATAATGAGCTTTGTGGCTGGAAAGCAAAGGAATATCCATTTCAGAGCTTGAGGGTGTGATGGAGGTGAGATCCACCTGCAGAACCCTCCTGGCAGAAGCCTGGGACCTCTGATAATAATTAGTTGTCCTGAAAGGTCATATGAACAGTTCAACTACACAGCACATTTGCTGTTTGCCCAGGCTCCTGCTACTAGTAGATATGTTTATGGGTAGTGCATAGTGGGTTTACAGCAGAACCAGGAACATCTGAGAATCTGAGATAAATAGCCTCGTGCTTTTTTTAAAATATTTTTTTTAATTTTTTTTTTTTTGGGGGGGGGGTTGGTGTTTTTTTGTTTTTCTGGTTCATTGGTGTTTTTATGCTCAATACAGCCTTTGCCATAGAGTTCAGCTACTGCTTATATCTTCTGAATCAAGTGCTGTAGCAGCATGGTGTGAAGTGCAAGGGCTGCAGAGAGGTAACAAGAAATGTGAGATGTGACCTAGCAGGGCTGGTCTAAACCTCTGCTGTCCCCATAACCTTGGCACGGCTTGACTGTTGTGGAAATATCTGACAGTTTGAACTGTGAGCCCAGGAAGTCCTTGATTATATTTAATCCCCAAACTCTATGTAACCCAGTACTGGCTAGACCTGGAAGTCTGATCATCAACAATATTAAAAAACATTCTCACAAAATTATATTTGGCACAGAGTTACATATATTGTGGTTTTCAGTAAAAGCACTGCAGATACAAAAAATAAGAACTAGTCCATTTTCCCTCTTCTGTCACTATTTTCAAAAACCTTTTCTCCCATGTATTTAAAGTTATAGAGAATATATTGCTTTAGAAATATTTCAAAACAGCAGAACAGCAATGTGTATCTTTCACCCTTATTCAGAAGGCTGTTCTGTTAAGACTGAAGGAAACAGGATGGAATACACAAAATGGAATACACAAAAGTCCAGGATGAGCATGTTCTGGTGAGAAGCTCAGCAGCAAAGAGCACCACTCTGTGTTTCTGTTTCTTCCCCTGAATGTTCCCAGAGATCATCTCTGATAGTTATTGAACAAACCCCAACTTGTCTGGACAGATTAAAAAACAACACAACTTAGCAGTTTCATTACAAACTATTCTCCTTTTCTGTGGCAAGCCTGCAAATTTAAAAGTTTCAGGCTCTTTTTAGGATTTAGCTGGCAGACAGCACATCACTCCCAGTGCCCAACAAAAAAAAGTAAGTTCTGTTTTAGAGAAGCAAGGAATATCAATTGGTTGGCTCAGTAATTCCTCAAGTCAGTAGTGCAGGACAAACACACAGCCCTGAAACTGAGCACAACCTTGGTAGCACTGAGGGGCTTTGTGTGTTTGCTTGAAACCCTGGGCAGTGTGACAGAGCAAAGGCTCCTGCCCACACATCAAGCAGAAATGGTTTGATTCATCAGTTTGTTTCTTCCTTTTTTTCTGGTCAGGTTTTCATTGCAAAACTGCAAGAACACGATGGAAAGTCTGTCTGACCCCAAGTGCAGCCTGAGCCGGCTGTGCTGCAGCAGAGAGGAAAGCTCCTGCACCAGCCCTTCCCTGCTGGAATGAACAGTTTGTGTCACCTCCAGGGCTCAGGGAAAAGTCTAGCCAGGTCTGTTTAAAGCCCAGCAGAGACCAATACCAAAATCCTAGGAACATGTTGCAGGATTATACTTTAAAATTTGCTTTAAAATCAATTACTTTCAAAGTTCATAATTAGGTTATATTTTAAAAAATTATTATTTACATGGAATAAATGTATTATTTTAAAAATCGGATCACTTCAAAGTGGATTACTTTTCCAAAAAGTACTCACATTTGAAATCTGAATGCCCTTAAATAGAATCAGATGCTGAAATTGTGAGCAAATCACATTTTTCAACCTTTTTTCGATTGCACGTAAAGATCTAATCCAATTTCTTATTATTCTGTACAAAAATGGATTACATTTAAAATACAACATTACATTTAAAATATCCAACATGTTTTCCTTCTGTTCTGTCTGACTGAAGGAGAGAAAAATTGGTCTCTCAGAACAAAGCTGTAATACAGGAAAAGGAAAGGGAAGTTTAAAACCCTGCTACAGCCAGGTTTGAGCACAACCTTATTTTGTTCACTTTTCTTCTGGTAGAATCACATTAAACAAACTACTTGCTCTCATGGGGGATTTAATTTGTTACAGTCACTAGAAGCCTGTGAGATTGTGTTTGAGGATAACTTTATTTTGGATTTTAAGGACTGTCAAGGAACCCATTAACAAATTAGAGCTGCTGAGCTCTGTTGCTCGCCACAGCTGATGGAAGCAAAGACAGCTTGAGATGGTGAGTTCTGAATCTTTAACTTTTAAGGACTGTCAAGGAACCCATTAACAAATTAGAGCTGCTGAGCTCTGTTGCTCTGCCACAGCTGATGGAAGCTCAGACAGTTTGAGATGGTGAGTTCTGAATCTTTAACACTTGAGTGTGATGCCCAAACATGGGGAATTACCCCTTCTCTGATCTTTTAGATCTTACCCTGATCTTTCCAATAACAAATCCTTTTCAAACAGATAAGCTTACATACATTTAATTTATAAATTTTGTTTGTTTTTTATTCTTACAGGATGACTATTCAGACCTAGATCAAGTATTAGCAGAAGAATTGGTTCTATAGCAACAATCTGAAATCCTTTTGAATAACTAAACCTAAACTCATCTAAAGGCTGCTCTGTTTTTTATTAAAGCTTAATTCCAACTTTTGGTATTGTGGGAAAGCAGATGAAGTTGTGGATCACTTATAAAATGCTCCTGCTCAATGGACTGGCTAAAATAACTCACGCAGTCACAAAAATCACAATCCAGAAAATCTAAAGGACCAAGTTCCAAACCCATTCTGGAAATGTATTAAGCATTTCAAGACATAAAACTAAATATTAACTTTCTTACTAATGCAAGCATAGCAATTTTATGTGCCAAATGCATACAAAAACCATATATTTATACATACTGTATATATGTATATGTGCAACATTAGGCACATACTGTGAATTTCTACAACTTAATAATTTCTCTATGCATAACGGCATCATTTATTAAAGGATTATTTCTCACATACTGAACATAATCTGAATTCCAATTTCATTTACCTCAGAGGGGTTTTTAAAGCAAAAAATAGGATCTTATGTTCATATCTATTTCAGAATACTTCCAGCCTTGCATTGAGAATTCCACTCCTGGCTAGACCTTGGAAGAGACAAGACACTTTCAAAAGAAAGGACACCTACACATGGTTCTCATCCTACCACCAAAAATGTGGATTTTGAACCTATCCAATAAAACTGCTAATTCCCCAACTGTAACAATGCATTTTTAGGACTTTTACTGCCACTATCCAGTGGCACCAGAAAAGATGTTCTTTTCCAACTTCTTCATAATGTTGCATTTTTGGAACCCATATAGTGACCATACCAGTCACCATGTCCTCTCCATAAACTTTGGATGTCAGGGTAAACTCTCAGGAAATAGTGAATCAAAATATATATGATGTAACGTACCTTTTCAAATGTGGGCATCATATTTTTTTATTGTCTCTCAAGAATAACATCAAATGGAAGCTGGGCTGCAAGAGGGATGGTGAGGAGGTCTCAAAGGGAAAGGCTATTGAAGTTGTCTATTGAAAATTTTATTTTTCACCCAGAATAATACAATTCAGTCAGGTATTGACATTGGAAACTCTGCAAGCAGGCACAAATATTACATCTTGATGTTACCTGTAGTTTTTTGATGCTCAGACACTTAACATAAAGAAATCAGAATGATGGCAGCTATAGTAGGGAAATGCATATAGTGCTAATGGAATGGAAGTTCTGTTAAATTCCAAACAATGTTATATCCGTCCCCACTCTTTGTCTCTTAATTCATTCCTCTTGATCTTCCCAGTGACTGTCTTTGGCAGCTCTTTGACAAATTCCATCTAGATAAAATAAAGAGAGAAAGCAATGCAGCACGTTCTACAGAGCTGGTTTTCCAAGACTCTCCAAGCATATGTGGAAAACTGAGAGGGTTCCCATCAGTAAGAGCTGCTTGCCTCAGATCCAAGCCAAACCAGAGACCACATTGTGCCACTTGTGAAAGCATCTCCGTGGCTGCCCACATGGCCAAACATCTGCACAGCTGCCTCTCAGCTGACCAAACTGAGTACAGTAACTCACAGCAGAAGGGCAAGTGCCTGAATGGTATCAGAGGTCAGAGATGAATGACAAAAAGAAGAAAGAAAAGGATGTTACAGCCCCAAAGTCTTTAAGGGTTCTTAGTTCTGCGAATTCTGCTCAAGTTGGCTAAGGCACTGCAGTAGCTCTTTTCCTGTGGTGCTTGGATTACTATGAAACACCAAGTGAATCCTCTTGGGCCTGTGTCTGTTTATTAGTTGTAATGATCAGTAGATAAAAACTTCTTTAGATTCAGTTATATGCTACCTTAAAGGCATGGGCAAGTGCTTGATTGAAGGTCAAACACAAAATGGAGAATATGATTGTGAGTATGACTTAGAACATGGAGATCTAACTGGGATATATAAAACCTAGACAATTTTGAGAAGTTTGAACAAGTAGTTTACACAAATTAATGAAAAACAATCTAAACTAATGTTATTTAGAAAAGATCTTCTGGAGCCAGTGGTCTAGATGAATCTTTACTGCTGTCTCCTTCAAGTGAATCATGAAAATCTAAATGGTAATTCTCCAGAGATTTAGGGAAGAGTGACCTGTTTTAAAGTTTCTCCTCAGAAATATTTACCTTTCTAGGGTATTTATATGGAGCAGTAGTTTTCTTGACATGGTCCTGCAAGTCACGAATTAAGGTCTTCAGGTCAGTGGATGAAAATGTTGGGGATAGAACCACAAATGCTTTCACAACCTGCAAGGTAAAATTAACAAAAGTGATCTGATACAATCTGTTTTTTAAGGGCTGATGTGCATTTACCAATGAGCAGTGCTGCTCAGAGTCACAACAGTCATGAGGAACAGAGAAACCAGCACAGGATAAGAAATGATTGTGCCCAGCTTCTGCATGTGTATGTGCAGAAGGGAAAGTTTAAAGGACATTTTTTGTGCCCTCATTACAAATAAGAGCCTTTTCCCTTTCTTCTCAGCAGCAGCCTAGAGGAAGGGGCAATACAGTGTGTCTCTGTGGAGTTCTCTTTGAAGGTAAGGGACACTTTATTTCTCTCTGAAGTTCACACTGAGGACAGTAATCCTGTGTTATCCTGGCACAGGACTGTGCATTTACCACACCTGCAGCCCATGTCTAATTCTCGGGCAAGTGCAGTAGAACTTTGGCAGCACCAAGGGTCATAAATCACAATTTAAGTGTATAGACAAATGCTTAAAAATAAGGGCAAAGTAAACATCACAGTAGTATTCTCCACTGAGAAGACCTTGGGATGAAAAGAAACTCAGAAGAGCCAAGGCATGTAGATGGGAAGGGATTTGCTTGTCAGCCCCACCAGGATAATCCATGATGGAAGTAGATGTGGTGCTTAGGGACATGGTGTATTTGTAGACCTGGCAATGCTGGGTTCATAGCTGGACTCAATGATCTCAGAGGTATTTTCCAACCTAAACAATTCCATGATTCTAAGATGACATTATTGCCTTAGAGCTGTAAGTTTTTCAATAGAGTAGAAATTCCTTGATATCATTATGTATTTGGACAAATGCATTGCTTTCCCCCCTCCATTCAGCATCCTTACCTCTCCTCTGAGGGGGTCTGGGCTGCTGACAACAGCTGTTTCCACCACAGCTGGGTGCTCTATCAGGGCACTCTCTACTTCAAATGGCCCAATACGATACCTAGGTAGGAAAAATAAAAATTATGTTTGGCTCTTGTTTTTTGTCTGGAAAAAACAGTACCAAAAGTTTTTAAATTTTCATGTTGAATTAAAAAAAAAAAGCCAGAACAAATCAGTAACCAGCTATAGAAGTTTTAGGCAAAATGGGACAGCTGGCTGGGTTTGAAGTAGGAGCATTGCATGGTGCTCTTTGTGGCAGAGGATTGGTGGGCTGTGGATACTTCTCCATCTGTTCTCTCTCCTTCGGTCTCTTAGGCTGGAGCTCCATCCCACCCTATAGCTGGGGTGTGCAGCAGCAGCCTGTGCCACATTATGGAATCACAACATACAATATCAAGTTCTTTCCGTTCAACATGTTAAAAATTGTTTCAAAAGCTCTTTGAATCCAATAGAGGTTCCTTCAATTTTAGTAAAAAAATAAACTAGATAAACATCCCTCCTTTGCCAACTGATGTCTTCATTCTTTGTTGAAACACATGAGATGTTGCAGGGGAAAAGGATCCCATATCATCACAGAGATGATACTGCAGGTCTGTGAAAAGCCAATAATAACAGCAGGGATTCCAGAATCAATAGGTCAATACATTCCTGCCACAGGATTATGACTCCAGAAGCTCACGTGTAAGAATATACAACACAAAATGTGAGAATATACAATGGCAGGTTTGGAATGGGTGTGTGCAGACTAACCCTGAGGAAATGATGATGTCATCGTCTCTGCCAATAAAATGGAAATATCCCTCTTCATCCATAGTCCCTCTGTCTCCAGTGACATAAAAATCCCCACGTTCACTTTCTGCAGTTTTCTTAGGGTTATCCTTAAAGTGGTTTACAAGCAGTAGTTTAGATTTTGAGCATACATTAGCTATACATTATGTTATAACACACATAACATTAAATGCACTGGAATTTACTTTTTCAGTCAAGGATGTACTGATATTACTATAAGATACAATAAAATAGGTTTTAAATAATTTCTATTCTTTAAGAAAATATTTGACTTGATTCTAAATTATTTTCTTTCCTTTTCTAACACCCACCAATTCAAGTAAACAAATTACTCTGGTAATAAAGAATAAAATGGTGAAAAATGTCCAGCCTTTAAGACCACTATGCAATTGGAGAGCTTTTGCGGAGACTGGTAGTGGTGGCGAGGAATAAAACAAAGTTCTTACTAAATATTCAGAGAAAAAACCAAGTGGCCTTATAGGTTTGCTTCTGACAGCAATTTCCCCCTGTTGTCCTGGAGGCAGGATATTGGCATTTTTGTCTACGATCTAGAATGAAAAACAGTTATTATTTTAGTCCAATGGAAAAACAAACTCCAAACACAAATCCAGCCAAACAAAAAATCTCCCATGACAGAATCTAAAGAGCAGTCAACAAACCTGAACATCATAAAGGGGAGCTGCTTTCCCCATTGATCCAGATTTAATCTTCATTCCTTTAAAACCAGAACAGATTATTCCCTGTAAAAAAAATCAAAATTAAACCAAAGCTTTTCAAAAGAAAATTGCTACATTCACATTCAATTAATTAAATATAGTTTCTAATAGACTAATTCTAAAGTAAGGAATTAAGATTCATAGGATCCTATATATCAGTGCTGTATGGTAGGGATAAGCAAAATCATAAAACTCCCTGAAATAATCCTGTTCCATTCTCTGTGAAAAATTCATGTTCTCTGCTAACCAGTCTTCTTCCCTTCGATTCAAACTCTGCCCTCTTGACTGACACTGTTACTTGAAATTAACTTAAGGACATTTGTGGAAATATTACAGCACATTCCCTCCCAAACCCTCATGTTTCTGGCAGGTTCTGTTCTGAGGAGAGCCATGAGAGGGAGTTATTTCAGAGGTTACCAGGGAAGGGAATTACTGAAACATTCTCAGAAATGTGAAGGAAGAAACAGACTGTCTTCTTACAAAACAAACCTTACAGCAAAAAGAAATCCCAGAGATTTAACAGGCTATTGTCCCTACAGATGTACCATTTCAGTCTGGCCATATACTTCCTGGATGTCCACCCCAGTCTGGCTCTTCCACTGCTCCATGACTTCTGGGTTGAGTGGTTCCCCTCCACTCATGCAGTACTTCAGGCTCATGAATTTGTATCTTCACAGGGAGTTAAAAACAAGAAAGGCAATACTTAAATCTAGAGGGAGCACACAAGGGTGAACACCACGGGAGAGCTGTTTACTGGGAGAGTTAGTGCCACAAAATGGGGAAATCAGAGGGGCCCTGATTCTTCTGCTCCTGATACAACAAGGATATCACTCTGTGCTCAACACTCTACATAAGTAGCAGTCAGAGTTAAACATGTGAAAAATAAAATTTTTGCTGAAGTCAGCTGGGATTATAAATAACCAAATACTGATCTGCTGAGCCAGGACCCTGATTGCTGACCCTCTGCAACAGGCCAAGCGAGAAAGCACAAGGGGAAAGGAAGGAACAATGACAGGCAGTGAGAACTGGAACAGAGGGTGAGGTACAGCTGCCACAACAAATAATTCCCTCACAGTTATGCTGACGTGCACTTTCTAGGATGAAGTCTTTCCCAAAGTCTGGACAATTAATGTGGTAGACAAAAATTATGACAAAGTATTTGACAGACTCTCAGTTTCATACTCACAAGTAAAGTAGCCTAAGTCTCAAATTTCTGAGGGAAAACATCAAGTTTCTCTGATCAAAAACCTCAGCAAAACTCAAATTTTGCATGATGGTCTTTTCATAAAGGATATTTTAAACCAAATGATTACCCTATTTTGGGTCAAGCAGTTAAATATAGGACATGACTAAGTTCATTTAGGGTAAATTAAACATTACTAAATAATTTTTTACATACTTGGACAGATCATTTTGCACCAGCATGCGGAACAATGTTGGAGCACCGACCAGGGCATCAATTGGGAATCTGCAGAGAGTCTAGAGGGTTAAAAAACAAGAAGAACATGTGAAGCACAGACAAAAACTGCCTTTGGAATGTACAGTAAACAGGTGACACAGACAGGAGAAGTACATTTGCCCCCCATGTAAAAGCACCACAGCCTCTGTTGGGTGAGGAACCCTCCTGCAGTTGGTGCAATATGCAGAGACTGTAGATTTGATTACAAAAGTCCCATGCTAACACATCTACCTGACACCAGGATCCCACAGTTTGGGGCATGACAGAATAGTTCCTCCTCTGTCTACATCACAGGGAGGTGTTCATTTTCATCTTGGCTGATGTGGGCACAGAAACTCTTCATTTCTGCATTAATACCCACTGATACTATTTCCACAGTCACTAGAATGAATGGCAGGCATTTAATGCTGCTTTTGGATGATTTTTGTTCATGTGCTCACCAGCTATGAGCAAAATGTATGAATGGATTGCATGTTTGTTCCCCTCTGTATATATTAAAAATGAAAGTAGGGCTTTACACAACAAATACAAATATCTCAAAAACTACTATAAACACAACCTCCATGAAATCTGTGGATGCTGTCAAGAATTGGTTTTGGCATGCTTTCTGCAGATGATTACATTTCCATGAGTTTTTCCCTTACATTTAGGATAACTCCTGAGTCAGTCTGTGGTAGGTTATGTATAAAGACACATGATCCGAAAACCCAAGGATCAAAAAAAGATGCTATTGAAGTTAGTATCCATCCTGTGTCTGCAGTGTTCCATATCATGTTAGAGGGAGTAAAATCCAGCCAGTACCTGATAGGGAAAAAAAAGGATAATAAAATAGACCCAGAAATAGGGTAAAAGATATTAACTGGGAGAAGACACTGGGGTGATCCTAGTCCCTAGCAATTTGATGGGGTTTTTACTCTGATTTCAAAGGGAGAAAGGCTGGGGATGTACACTGGTATTTCTTATTCAGTAATTTTTTTACAATAGCTCTACTATGCAGCTTCAATTATTTAATGTTCAACCAGGCTTAAGTCTTTCACACCTTTCACTTAAAAGGGGTCTGAAACCAAGACTCCCCTGGGAATGTAGAGTCATCTTTGGAGAACCTGTAGTTCCACTGGTAAAGAAGATAATCATTGGGTCTTGAATCCTTGTTTTGATGCAGGAATGGTCAGCAGATTGGTTTCTGTAAAAAGGAGAATGTTATTATAACTTCAGTGGGTGTAATTAATATAAATGAGTGCTTGTGGGAACGGGTCTGGTTTGTCCTTGTGACTGCAGTGGCACTCAGTCATACTCACTGGTACAACTCAGTAAAGTTCAGCCATCCCTCCCTGCTGCCTTTGGACACCATTAGCTTGGTTTTCAGGTGCTGGCACTGGGATGCCACCGAGTCCACTGCAGGAGCCAGTTTGTCAGTGGTAATGATGCACGAAGCCTTTGATGCCTGGAGTCGGTACAGTATGTCCTTGGCTGTTAATTGGGATGTTCCTGGGATTATGACAATTCCTGGAAGAGAGATAATGTTGGCATTTTTTCTCTGTCTGATTCTTTTCTAAGAACCTAAGCTATTAAATATTCCCAAACTGATCTCTGATATGGATTTGCTCTGGTGTTTCCCAGCCAAACAGTTAGATTAGATTAGATTAGATTAGATTAGATTAGATTAGATTAGATTAGATTAGATTAGATTAGATTAGATTAGATTAATGCAGGTGCCTGTGCTCTCCTGTCAGGAATGAAATGTGGACCTGCCTGGTGACTTCCATGGCTCTTCCCTGCCTTCTGGCATCTTCTTGCCCACTGTATGAGCTACATTTCCTATGGCCCCTAGTGAAAACCCTTCAGGACTGCCTGGCAGCCAGTCCACTCCCTGGATTATTACACTATTTTTCCTTGATAAACTATATCTATTCTTGTTCCTCTCAACCAATTTGCAGTGACCATCTGACCTCACTGACCTGCTCGCATACAAGCCACCTTGACCAGCCACCATTCTGGAATTCGTGGTAGGATCAGGACAAGCCTGTCTCCCTTCTGCAGTCCACATTCTTTAGTCAGTACATTGGCCACTTTCCGAGACAGGAACCCCAGCTCCTCAAAGCTCCACTTCACTTCTTCTCCTTCTCCACTTACCCACCAGAAAGCAGGGTTTGATGGTCTCTTTCCAGCCTACAAAACATAGGAATTTAAACATAAAAGATTTTCTTCTGAAAGACCATGAAATAATAATGCACAGATATCTGTAAATTATGGAAGATCTGAGAATTTGACAGCTGGCATATAAGCTATTTTTTTTCTTGTCCTTAAAGGATCAAGATTTTCTATTCATCAAGTCCTGTTATTCCCAATAGATTCTCCTTTTCTGAACCTGAAATGTTCACCAGCCTAATTGTCTCCAGACCCAAGTCCTAGTCTGGATCTTATTTACTGTAAGCCTTTTACTGTGTATTAATGCTCCTACAAAATAACAATAAATAAAGCAAGAAAGAATGAATTTTTTATAATTTCCTAATGCAAATTTGGCTTGGCAACTGATTGTTTTTATAAAGAAAAAACCCCAGCTTATTCCAAATAAAATTTAAAATTAAAATATTTCATTGGCACAACAGAAGATCACCTACCTTTTCAATCTCAGACCATTTGTCCAGTACATCACTTGCGAAGTTAAAGTACTTTGGTATTTCCTGTTTGCCCTGTCTGATGGACTCATACTGGGAATATACATCACAGGAAAGCAGCCTGGGATGTCCATGGAAAGCCCTATTAGGAGGTTTCAGAGTCCACAAGAGTTTTAGTTTCTGTAACTTCAACAGCAGCTTCATGGCAGAAGACTGTGTCTAGATGCTGTACACTATATAAGAAAATTGCAGAATTGTTGCTGTGAATCCTGTAACAACAAACAAAAACCAAACCAACAAAAAAAGAAAAATAATATTGAAATTATCCAAAGACAATCCAGTTATGAATTAATGAGATCTTCATTAAAGTCACTTAGGCTAGTCAGAGCCAGACTGATGATTTTAACATGCTAATTAAATGTTAAGTTTCCTATTCTACTTTCTCATATTTTTAATTTTTAAATTAATTGCCCACAACTCTCCATAGTAAAACACAACATCAGATGTTATTCTTTACATTAAAAGAATGTTCCTGCTTTATACATTCAGTATCTGATTCTCTATTCCTTTTTGTTTTCTGCTTGTTTCCAAACTAGTTCCATCAAGAATCTCACTGCTGTAGCCTCAGCAGCTGCTGACTGATGCACCCATTCACCACACCAATCCCAAGAACCTTCACTTTGTTATGTAGCCCCTGATTTTGATAGAAACTTTTCTACTCATTTTCCTGTCTGCTGTGGACAGGAGATCAGGAGCTGCTGGGGGAGATCCTCTTCATTCATTCACTCACCTCTCAGGACATGTTTCCCATGTGAGGCACTGTAAGGATCAGCTGTTCCCTGGAGATGTCAAACCTCAAAACTCCTTCATAAAGGTTTTGCAGTGAAACCCTTCTGACGTTATTGCTCACCTCTTCTGAGTAATGAGAGTGTGGCACAAAACAGACCAAGCAGCAGAACTCTTTCTGTGGAGTAACTTTTTTTTCTTGTAATCATTTACACCATTGTTAATTGTGCGTAATTTGCACCTTAACCTAAAGCATTTTGTGTCTTCTTTTGCCTCAACTTTAACCATTTAAGTACATCACAAATTCATCATGATGAAGAGAAGCATTAAAAATAATTTTTTTTCTTTCCACTCTGAAAGAATTTGAGAATGTTACAGCGCTAGTTATTGACAAGACTATATCAATGTGCTGCTGATACAACAGGACAGAGATTACTTTTATTAATTTCTCTTTTATTTGTATGTATCTAAGAGTTGTAGTTACACATTTTCTGAGTGTTTTCTACTTTTGCTTCCACAGTTTGTTTTTCACAATGTTTTCATGTGCTCTGGATCATAAACACGTGCCATATTTGATGTGTTATGGTTGGTACAGGTAATAGAATATTTCTCTCCTTGTTTTCCAGATCACTCTTACACTTTTTTTACTTTTGCCCACTCTTTGCTCCTTAGGACATTTCTCTGGATTTTCCCAGTAACGGTCTTTGGCAGATCCTGAACAAACTCCATCTGAAAGGCAAAAATACATCCTGTTTAAATTCCCAGCTGAAGGAAAGACACACTTTCATGGTGGTTGGGGATAAAAGGATGGGAAGCTGCAGAGCCAGGGCTGGGATGATGAAATGCTGACTGAATGCCTTGCCCATGTGAGCTGCTGTGAAAAAGCCCAGTACTCCATGAAAGAAGCACTGGGCCCTCATGAAGTAAAATTTCCTGACCATTGCCTCCCCCTGGGTCCATTCTAGCACACACAGCCAACCCAAGGCTACAGCTGCAGCTGACCCTGCCATGTACTTTTATTTTATCTAACTCTGGTTGGAGTGTTTTCAGAAAGCTGTTGAAAAAAAGCTGAGGCTGGACAAAAAATGCACAATTTCTGGTACGATGAGAGAACCCGTCTTTTTGGGCTGTACTTACCTTCCTTGGATACTTGTATGGTGCAGTCACCTTCTTGACATGTTGTTGAAGTTCAAGAGTTAATTTTTTTTGATCATGTGATGCAAAAGCAGGAGCTAAAACAATGAAGGCTTTGACCACCTGTGCCACAAAAAGGAAGGGGTTCCATTAACTTCCAAAGGTGGCAATAAAGGCTTTTCACTTTTGTTGTGAAAAGCTAGTGTCAAAATTCAGAATGTCAAAATTCGATCTTTTTCTTTAATTTGCCTTTTCATTAGCTGTTTACTACAGAATACTGGCTATCAAGGACCCATTTTGGAGCAGAGGATTTTTTCCATATTTCCAGCTTTTTTACCCTTAACATTATATACTAATAAAGCTGAAAATCTCGACTCTGTTGCTCAAAGAAATGTTGCAAATGTAGAAAATATAAAACAAATATTAAACACTGGATGTCATTGCTACAGTGCACTAAGTGACAAAACAATAAATAATCAAAATTTCATTGCTTAGACAAAAACATGTCTTTACTAGTCTGAAAAGCTAAACTATTTTCCCACATGAAAACCTGCAAACAGAGAAATAATTCTGATATTGTAAGATCTACTAAGATATGGATTTAAAAAAACATTAGCCCATCTAATTTCAAAAATATGCAACATATTGAATTCCAAGGAAGCCTAGTACATACAAGGAAGTTGATACTTAGCACAAAGGGTATTTCTTTCACATTTTTTCCCTAGTTTGTTTTACCTCCCCTCGCTCTGGGTCGGGACTGCTGACAACAGCCACCTCTGCGACTGCTGGGTGCTCTATCAATGCACTCTCCACCTCAAAGGGGCCAATGCGGTACCTGGGAGCACAGAGACACCTCAGCCAGCAGCACGGACCGGCCCTCTGGGCTTTCCAGGCTGCATTTCATGAGGCAGATCTAAAAGGAAGTGCCTTACCCAGCAGAGTTAATGATATCATCAGCTCTTCCCACAAACCAGATATATCCCTCTTCATCCATAAAGCCTCTGTCCCCAGTGAGATAAAAATCTCCACATATAGTGGCAGCAGTTTTCTCTGGATTATCCTGGCAACAATCAAACATTTCAGAAAAAGTATCTGATTATTAGTGAAACACAATGCATTTCCTTAGTAGCGATGCAAAAAAAATGACAAAAATATTTTTTTTAGTTGTTCTCAAAATGAGGGCATTCAATACTGTTTCATATTTTCAACTAAAAAGCCATTTTAATTAGCAGTTTGATGCCTGAAGTATGTGACAGGTGGAAAAGAGCTCTACACACTAAAGAATGTATGTAGAGATTTCTGTTCTAGAGAGAAAAGGTTGTGCTCTATCGAAATGCCCATCCATCACAGCAAATGTATAACCCACAAAAATGTGTAACCCACTCTGTTCAGGGAAATGATTTATCATTGCAGGTGTTTGCCACAATAACCTCCTGTCAAAATATTTTTTTTACCCTTACTGCTAGGACCAAAACTCAAATGAGGGCACCTGCAGGAAAAACTTCATTATTTGCATTGACCTAGACCTTTACATCCAGTGTAACCTCTTGGTTACACAGGAAAACACTTTCACAACAGAAGACAGAGTGAAAACCAGAAGCTATTGTATTGAACTTGTAGAAGTTTCATATCCCCTAGTGAGCAATTACATTTTACAAGTTGTTTGAGAATGCTACAAATATCCAAATTGGGCGTTCAGAAAAGGATCAAAGACATAGACAGGTCCCCCAAAGCTTATTCATCATGATAGTTCAGTTGCAGGGGACAATATCTTTAAGTATGCCTGAGTCTACTGTTTTCTTAAGAATGTCCTGCACCTCAGCATCACCACACACTGATCAGGCTCAAAGTCCTCAAGTAACCCAGTGAGACTTTCTGAGGATCCTGCAAGGAATTCTGCTCCTGGCAGACCTTTGCCCTGGGTCTCTCCTGAGCCCCTCAGCAGACACAGACACAGCAAGTCAGGCTCACCAAGTACTCAGAGAACAGGCAGAAGGGTCGTGTGGGTTTCACTCGAATGGCAATGGTGCCCTCTTCTCCTTTAGGCACAACAGCCCCATGGTCATCTACGATCTGCAGAAGGGACAGACACAGCAGGGGTGCTTTGATCAGCTCAGAGGAACATGTGCTGCAGCTCAGTGCAGGGCACAGAAGGGACACAGACAGCACTGCCTTCTGTTCTGCCCACAACTGCCTCCTACCTGCACATCATAAGGAGGAACAGGTTTTCCCAAAGAGCCAGGTTTAATTTTCATTCCTTTCAGATTGGCACAGATTGCCACCTGCAGAATAGATTTTTAAAATATTTTTAAAAATTGTTGCAACTTCTTGTAAATTTTATTATTGTTTGCATTAGGCATCTTTCCATGACGTTGTTGTGACAAGGGCTGAATCAGGACCAAAGCGCTGTGGGTTTTTGAGAACATCTGAGAGGGGTTGAGAGGCAGTTCAGGTCAGACCTGTGAGAGTTTTGTTTTGTTGAGTCTGAACCAGTGGATTGTCCTGCAAACACTTGACATTTATTTTGCAGGACAGCAGATTATTACCACAGATCTTATTTCCATACTGGGACAATTAATTTGGGACCATTTCAAGGGCAAAATGAGAGAAAGCCTGAGATCTGGCTCTTAATAGTTTTGTTAATGTTCACTTACAGAGAAGTCTGGGATGTGAGCTGGTTTAATATTTACCATTAAAACTCAAACAGGCCAAATTGATAGCTGGAGCAAATTATGTTTTCAGGGTTTTTTTGAAGTAAAGATGACAAAGAAATCTCCTACAATTATTTGATTTGAAGTGTCTCTGGCATGGTTTTTGCAGGGGTCTAAATCATTAAAATATGCAGCTTGCTGATTCTGGAACTGTATAATCATAATTATACATAGTTTTTTGTTTTGTTTTTTTTTTAATAATGTAAGTGATTCTCACCTTTTCCATTGATTTATCAAGGACATTGTGGCTGTGGTATTCTTACCTTTGAATGGGTATTCTACAAGAATTAATGCAAACGTACTGTTTCGGACTGGCCATAACCTTCATGGATATCCAGCCCTGTCTGGATTTTCCACTTTGAAAACACTTCAGGATTGAGTGCTTCCCCTCCAGTTACACAGTGCTTCAGACTTGGGAACTTGTAGCTTGAGAGGAACAGCAAATTAAATAATTCTCTTAACTCCTAAAATGAGCAGTGAGCAACCTTAACTAAACAGACTTCATTAGCTTTCCAAGTACACCTAAGCTGAAGGAAAGGCTGAATAGGAAGACAGAGCCTGAGCTCTCTGCTAAAGCTGGGTTGGCTTTTGGCAGGATGAAAACCTCTGTGACAAGAATGAGTACCTTACCAAAGATGTGAAAACTCCTTACAAACCACTTCTCGAAAGCTGGGTATTTTACAGAGTGACAAACTGGGGGGAACAGCTGCCAAATAACTCTCAGCACGTGGAACTCCTCTAACTGCTCCCTTCATTCCCAAACATGTGAGAACAACTCCATGGTGCACCAGTAACTCCCTGATCCAATGCTGCCTAAATCATTGACTTAAATTGAACTGTGAAGCCTAAGTTCAGAGGAAGTAATAGCTTAAAAAAATCTCCTCTCTTTCCTCTGTGCTGTCTATTCAAAGACCCAGTCCTGAAGTCCAAGTAGCCTATGGTGTGGCTAATTCTTCTCACATTTCAAAACTGAGAGCCTTCTTTACTGAGAGCAAACTTTGCTAATTAGGTTTCCTTGAACTGAAAAAGAGAATTAAGGAGCCTAAGGAGCTAACCTTGCAGAGCTGTCCCAGCAGTATACCCCAGCCTCCCTCCTCTCCCTGCTGTACCTGCTCACATCATGTTGGACCAACATGCGGAAGGCAATGGGAGGCGTGCAGAAGGTGGTGATGGGATATCTTGACAGAGTCTAGAAAAATAGGAAGTTATCGTGCTGAAAACCTTGTAATGCTGGGTCTGACCTTGTGAATGTGCAGGTGATTAACACAATTTACATGCTCAAATGCCTGTAAGATGGAAACCCTAAAAATGCTGTATCAGGCAGTCCAACTCCTGCATAACATGGAACTTTCTGTCCAACAGAAGTCACTCATGTAAATGAAGGACTGGTGAGAGCAGTAGTTCCAATTAAGGGGTTTTTTGGGTTTTCCAAGGCATCTGTATCCCAAGCTCAAGCCTAATTGGTGATAGGAAATTATACCACAGCTTTTCCAGTATTATTCTTGGGAAAGTCAAAGTTTCCACCCCACACAAGAGGCCAATGTTGAGGAGAATCATCCAGCTGAGTGGTTTTGAAAAAGAGCTGGGGAGAGGAAGAGGCACTCTGGTATCTTTGGATTGTTTGGGATGTGGGACTACTCACCTCTGCAATAACTTCTGGTAGAAACTGTGGCATACTGTGTACAAAGACACAGGCTCCACAGATCCATGGTGAAAAAACACTGCCATAGGCTGATTTTGCCCAGCCAGTATCAGAGGTATTCCACATTATATCAGAAGGAGTCAAGTCCAGCCAATACCTGATGAAAAAGCAGAGATGGAAAAAACTTTCAGGGAAAGCAAATCAGTACCAAACCACAGATTTAACTTTTGAGGTATAATGAAATGGCCCAAGGTTGCTTTGGTTCTCAGGGAAGGTTGACCCAACATGAGAGCACTTGACTTCCTCTGGTGTGGTTGTAGGGACACTTTCCTTATTGCTCCTCTGCTTTCAGTCCTGCGAGTGACACAACTCTGCACATGATGAGCTCAAATGGGCCTTCAAGAAGCTTTTAATAACAAGGGTTTTACCATGAGAGCAGAAAAATGAAGGAAGTTCAAATCCTACAGTCATGAAATGCCTGCATAACTGGAATGTTATGGTCTCGTGTTCACTTTAATGCTGATCACAGCACTTAATCAGGACCCTAGGAGGAACTGCAAGGTAATACCTGCCAGTGGTTGCAAATCCAATGCCATAACTGCTGTAGGAATGCAGCACCATTTTTGGGAAGCCCGTAGTTCCACTGGTAAAATACACGAGCATTGGGTCATGACTCCTTGTCTTGATACATATTTGATCAGCAGATGCAACCCTTCAGAAGAAATGATATATTCCAGTCACTACATGCAGTTTTCCACTAGGGAAGCAGTATTTTTAATGTTTAAGAGTTCAACAGGAAAGCTGCCCCAAATTATGTGATCTTACTAAATCCATTATATATCACGGGGAAAAGTTAGAGAACACATTTTGCGTGTCACATACACTCTGAACCACAAGGCTGAGGAGCAAGAAGAAGCTGAACTTGGGTCCCAAAACCTTGATTGCATGAATCTGTATTTAATGCAGTGTAATCACAGTGCTGCAAGTTGACAGAGAAACATAACTAATTTGCATTCTAAAAATTACCCCCACAACTCAGCAATGTCACCTGACTGATACAGCTCCCTTCACCTCAAAGAACTGGGAAGAAAAGAGCTGGATACTCACGCAAGGAGTTCTTGGAGGTTCAGCCAGCCATCCCTCCTCCCTTGGCCTACAAGGAGTTTACTTTTCAGGAACTGGCTGCCAGGCAGGACAGATTCCACTGCAGGTGCCAGCGTCTCATTGGTAACGATGCACTTGGCCTTTGAAGCCTGCAGTCGGTATAAGATGTCTTTGGCTGTTAATAGAGTTGTTCCTGGAAAAAAGACAATTCCTGGAAAAAAGCAAGAAGCAATTGAGAAAACTCCGCATTTCCCAAAAAGCCATGATTGTGTCTCTCTGTTGATGCTGATTTTTTCCATCATGGATGTTTATCAGTTTACAAACAGAGCTAAATAGATATATTGAATTATTAATGACACCAATGATAGAAGTTCTTCCATTATAAACTCAGCTCCCTTCCCATGTATGTGGTCAAGTCTGGCCTTAGGTTGCAGCCATTCAGCCCTCCCTGGCTTCACCTGAGGATGCCATTTGACTGGACCAGCTCTGGCCCTGTGCTTCCTGTGCCAATTCTCCTTGGAGGCACAGGAGAACAGGATCAGTTGTAGAGGTCCCAAGAGAATATTGCTGTTTGCATGTTCTTCACCCCAGTCTAGTACATGGTTTATAGGCTCTATTTGCTTTCTGTCTGCCCCCAACAAGTCAGCGAGTCACTCACCTGCTCGCATGCAGGCCACGTTCAGGAGCCACCACTCAGGCACACGAGGCAGAATTGCTACAACTCTGTCTCCTCTCCTCAAGCCACAGGCCTCAGAAAGGACATTGGCTGCCTTCCTGGACAGAGAGCCCAGCTCCTCAAAGCTCCACTTCACCTCCTCTCCCTTATCACTGACCCACCAAAAAGCTGGATTTGCTGGTTTTTTTCCACTCTACAAGACATGAGAAGACATTAAAATAAGAAAAACCTTAAAAGGCTTTACTTCAATACAAAATAACTCTAAACTAAGCAAATAATCCCTGGCAATCACTCTCTTAGGGTGACACCTGTATTTCTGATAAACAAAATAAATTAGTGCTTTCCACTCTGCAGCCAATCCTGCCCAGTACCTATGAGGAAAACGGATTTGTGTCACCTGAGATTCTTTCCACTGTGTCCTCGTTTTGGCTGGAATAGAGTAATTTTCTTACTATGTCCTGGTAAAGTGCTGTGGTTTATGAATTTAGGATCAGTGTAGTGTTGATAACACACTGATGTTTTAGTTGTTGCTAAGCAGTGCTTACTTTAAGTCAAGGACTTTCCAGTTTCCCACACTCCACCAACAAAGAGGCACACAAGAAGCTGGGAGAGATCATGGACAGGACAGCTGACCTGAAGTGCCTGAAGGGATATTCCACATCACAGGAGGTCCTGCTCAGTTTATAACCTGGGAGGAAGTTTGTTGGGAGGTGTTTGGGGATGGGCTGGGCATCAATCAGTGGGCAGTGAGCTACTACTGCTACTAATATGATGATTATTATTATATTTCAATTCTTAAACTCTTCTTTCCTCAAGCCATGGGTTTTACCTTTTTTTTTCTCCTGATTCTCCTCCCCATCCCACTGGACGTGTGTGTGTGTGTGTGTGGTTCTTAGTTGACAGATGGGGTTAAGGTACAATTCAATGTATATAAAATAAAAGACAAGTACTACCTTTTCCAGTTGTGTCCACTTATCTAAGACATCACTTGCAAAGTTGAAATATTCTGGCAGTTCCCTTTCACCCTGGTTTATAGATTCATAATAGGAAACAATCGGAGATGTAAGAAGCCTGTTGTTTCCATGGAATGTTCTGGAAGGTGACCTGAGAATCCACAAACACTGAGGAATCCAGGATTTAAGAAATGTTCTCATGATAAATGATGTTTTATCAGATAGTGAGGGGAAGGAATCAGATGTACACCTAAGGAGTCAGTCACCTGGAATGAAAGAAAATACATTTAAGTGAATCCAGCTATTGGATGCTGTCCCATGTATAATGTTAGAATGCAAACTAGCTTGAATAAATAGGTTATTTACACACATCCTCATTTTATGTCATGTTACCTGTATTTTTGTGATGTGAGTATTTAACATTATGGTATACAAAAGGAATAAGCACAGTCATCTTGAGGTTAATAAAATTAGCAGAATTGCTGTTATGAATGCTGCAACAAAAACAGCAACTGTGGAGTCTCGTCCAGCTGGGAGAAATGGTGGTCTAACCTCAGTAGCATATGCAGGGGGCATCAACCTGAGGCCATGGGAAACAGGACACTGAAAAAAGGACACCTAGCCATGTCATGGCGAGAAGAGTGGGATCATGGGAGTCAGTATGTTAACAGAACTATCCTCTATTTGGGTCATCTTTCTGGTTCTTGTTCTCAGTTGGTTCGGTATCTTTTACAAATAAGTCAAGTTCTGAGTTCACATTCCTGATTGGATCCTTGCCCTCAGAAAACCCCCATACCTTATGATGTTTGCCACGCTCCCCCCATCTTTCGACCTTGCCCCTAGACTCTGTGGTTTCTACCCTTGTTATTTTGCTTCTAAAGTTTGTTGTTTTGTTTTTTTTTTGGGTAAAACGATTGTTCCCATCCCTTATTTTGAAAGTTCCCCCAGCCAGGTTGAACTAGGGGTCCAAGCGAGTGAAGACTACAATAACTGGTGCTCAAACAGGGACCTCATATTGAGGGATCTTTTTGTGATGTGAGTATTTAACATTATGGTATACAAAAGGAATAAGCACAGTTATCTTCAGTTCAATTTTGCTTGGTTTTGGCCAATCGATTGGACCCTTTTTTTTTTTTTTTCTGCTGTGGATTAATTCAGCAGGCCTGACATGGTTACAAGCAACCCTTGGAGTCAGATCTTTCAGATGCCTGCTCGAAAAAGCAGGTAAGCAGAGAAAAGAGACATTCCTGCCATTCCTACCCCAACCAGGCGGGCACACCCCACCTAATCCTGATTATTATGGGAATAAGACCATCAAGACTAGACAGCGACAGATATGACAGCTTTAAATTATTCTTAGCAGCCCACAGAAGAAAGGCCCAAAATTACAAGTTAAAAAACTTCCTAAAATGGCTGGTTTGGAACTTTGCGGCAACTGTAGCCAGTGGCACCGCAGCAGGCCCTGCCAGTGCCAGGCCCTGCCAGTGCCAGGCCCTGCCAGTGCCAGGCCCTGAGCTGCCTGCCCAGGGCCCTGCCCGGCCTGGCCGCTGCTGCCTCCCCAGCTGCAGCCTGTGGGACAGGCCTGCCCGCTGCCACTGGGCCCCGCAGAGCGCGGCGGAGAACAGCACGGACTGGGGATTCTCTCTGCGGGATTTTGGGGTTTTGTGGGTGTCAGCTTTACGACCCAGCTACCAGGGGACTCTCTCGTGGCGTGTCTGCTGCCTGCTTTCCGTGTGATTCTCAGAACGCTCAAAGCCAAAGAGCAACAACTCGCGGCGCTCGGCCCTCCCAGGCCTTGCTGGCGTGGCAGGAATCCGGGGGGTCTGGGGCCACTCCACCGTGCAGGACCCCTTCCCAAACCCAGACTGCTTTTAACCCATCACCCTGGAGATGGAACTCGAGGGAAGAACCTGTCCCAGGCACAGGAAGCAGCGCAAATCGCAACGCCTGCCCCTTCACCCAGCAAACTCCCCTAGCATGGAACTTGACAAGTTCCAACAAGTTACTCAGCGACCCCATATCCCCTTCTGCCTCCTCTGCTCAGGATCCCTCTTGGATCCCCCCACCTTCCCTGCTCCTTCACCATGCTAACCTCTCTCCTGTTCATCTGAGTGCCCTGTTCTATTACCTGCTAACCACACTTCTAACGTCTATGCCACCAGAGGCACCATGTTGCCTCAAGCCTCCCCCCTCAACGCCACCTCCACCACTCATGACTACAACTCCCAGCATGCCTCGGGCCACGCCCCTCCCGGGGAACGAGAGCCACGCCCACCATGTCCCGGAAGCGCTGCTCTCCAACATGGCCGCGCCCGTGTCCCCATGGCAGTAGAGGAAGCCATGCCGGAGAACAAGCGCTGCAATAACAACACTGTGCTCGCATCCTCCCCCCTCCTCAGAAGAAAACCTAATCCCTTCTAGATCCAGTGATTCCCCATGGAATCACTGGATCTAGCAGGGATCCATGGCAGAAGGCCCAGACAGTATGGTAAAGAACAGAAGGAGAGGGACTGGTCCAACATGTAAATCTCTAACCTACAGAGAAATACAAAGACATATAAAGCTGCCAAAACTATGGAAAGGCTTCTCCTTTCTTGAGCAGTCTAGTGCAAGCTGCTTTCACTGCATATCTTTGATCCCCTCATGATTTGAAGCACGAGATGACTCTGCTGCTGTCTCCAGCTGAATTTGCCCTGTGGGAAAGGGGGTGGAAGAGATGGTTAAATCAATTGTTGCTTGTTAAATCAATTGTTGCTTTACAGTGCTGATTTGCCCTGTGGGAAAGGGGGTGGAAGAGATGGTTAAATCAATTGTTGCTTTTCAGTGCTGTAGACCAGGCATGGGCAGTGCTAACGCTAGAACACTCTGCTGGGGAGGGAGCACATACCAGCCCCATAATCAGGCTGCAAACCTCCCACAGCCAGTGCTTGATGATATTAAAAATGAGCAAGGAAAGCACTCATGCAAATGCCTGATGGTAACACACCTGCTCCAGACTTTGTAGGTATAAAGAAAAGCCTAGTAAACCATGCATAAAGCTGAAGTTTTGGCCCCCCTTCACCAGAATAATCCACAAACAATTGTTTATCATTATATGGATAATATACTTATTGCAGCTGAAAATGATCCATCTTTGCATTCAACTTTGAAAGCCACCATCACAGCCATGCAGCAAGCAGGACTGACCATCACAGAGGAAAAGATACAGCAAACATCACCCTAGAAATATGTGGGACTTAAAATTCTCTCTCAGACTGTTACAAATCATTAATTGGGCTAAGCCTTTGCTAAAGATCATTAATAAAGATTTAGTCCTGTTGTTTGTTTTGTTACATGCCTTTTTAATTTGGTAAGTGATCCTGCTTATTTTACAGGTATCTTTGAGAGAGCTGAAAATTCATCCCTAGAGACAATTACTAGTGATCAGTTATGCTCCTTCTTAAAACTTGTTATTCTTTCTCAGAAACAGCATCTCTATTTTGTCATGCATGTATGTTTTCATTCTTCTTTGCCAAGATTCCTAACAGAAGGTAATAAATAAACTGACACACATTGTCACTGCATGCCCTGACTGCCAGAAATATTCTCTGCTGTCTGTTGGGGCAGGAGTAAATCCTAGAGAGCTTCACAGTTTGCAAATTTGGCAAAGCAATGTGACCCATTATGTGTCTTTTGTTTGCTTTAAATCTACACATGTTTCCATAGACAGATTCTCAGGAGCAATCTGCTCACATAGCTGACATTATTAAACATTTCCCACAAGCATTTTCAACTCTAGGCATCCCACAAGAGATAAAAACAGATCATGGGCCTGCCTGTCTTTTACCCCTTGTACCATGTCTTCAGTTGTAGCTGTTTATTCTCACATCTTTGATGCACAGATGTCAGCATTGGTCAAATTTTATTCCTCAAGAAAAGTTACTTATTTAACATTGGAACTATTGCCTTACTCCTTAGTAGAACCTTATACAGTAATATTTAATCTGCCCATCAGGCAAAGGAGTTCAAATAGCCAGAGCTTAACACAACTTAATCTTTTCAGTGGTGTCTGCCAATATAAACAATCTGGATGCAGATTTTCCCCACCAAAGAGATATTTTGTCAAAAGCAGCAGAAATTCGTGGTGTTCTCCACAATCTTTGGACATTGTGGCAGAGAAACACTGACTACTTGTAAATCATCCTTAATCACTTGGGGAGATGTTTCTCCTTTCTCAGTCTGCTCTAATTCTCTGCTTTAGCTGTAACTTGCATTTTTTGGAGCATTACAATGACAAAATCTACACAATAGCCTATCAGAGAAAGAGGAAGGACATGATATTTAGGAATATTTAGGGAGATTATATTCAAGACTGACAAGATGAAACACATTTGGAGTTTGGGATTCCCAAGTGCTCTACAACAACTTCTGCCAAGAAAACTGTGAGAACCTTCACGTTTTTAGCACTTTCTCACCTGCAAATGTAGCGATGAAAATGAAGACAGAAAACTGAGGAAAAGACTCAGTAATGGCAAAGTTCTCAGAATGAGGAGTGAGAATCAAAAATTATTATTCCTGATTGAATACTATTTGCTTTGCACAGTGATCATCAATACATAGAGTGCAGATAAATAACATTTTCCTCACCTTTCTGCTGTGGACAGGAGATCAGGAGCTGCTGGGGGAGATCCTCTTCATTCATTCACTCACCTCTCAGGACAGGTTTCCCATGTGAGGCACTGTAAGGATCAGCTGTTCCCTGGAGATGTCAAACCTGGAAACTCCTTCATAAAGGTTTTGCAGTGAAATCCTTCTGGCTTTATTGCTCACCTCTTCTGAGTAATGAGAGTGTGGCACAAAACAGACCAAGCAGCAGAACTCTTTCTGTGGAGTAACTTTTTTCTTGTAATCATTTACACCATTGTTAATTGTGCGTAATTTGCACCTTAACCTAAAGCACTTTTTCCTCCAGTTTAACCATTTAAGTACATCACAAATTCGTCATGATGAAGAGAAGCATTAAAAAGAAATGCATTTTTCCTTCTACTCTGAAAGAATTTGAGCTTGTTACAGTGGTAGGTTTTGGATGTTAATTAATTGCTGATACCCACCTCAGGACAAACATATCTTCATATTAATTTCTCATTTATTTGTAATTTTCAAAGCCTTGTAGTTTCACCCATTTTTTTAAGGAAGATGTTTATACAAATTGTGGTAAAAAAAATTAGATCTCTGTATGCACCTGAGTCTTTGTCCCATCCCACACTTTGAATCACTTGTACTTCCTTCCTTCGAAAATTTGTAGGTTGATGGCCAAAGCGGTTCCAATACCACACATCCTCAAGAATGTTTTCTCCTTTTTCTTCTACAGTTTGTTTTTCCTGATGTTCTTGTTCTGCTGTGGGTCATGACAACCTGCTCTGTGTCTTGTGTTATGGCTGGTACACACGATGGAGAGTTTCCTTGTTTTCCAGATCACTCTTGCTCTTTTTATACCTTTCCCCACTCTTTGTTCTTTAGAACCTTTCTCTGGATTTTCCCAGTAGCTGTCTTTGGCAGATCCTGAACAAACTCCACCTGAAAAGCAAAAATGCTCCCTGTAGCCAAATAACTTGTGGGTAATTTCCCAGGTGCAAGAAAAGATTGTGAAAACACTTTTAGCACAGGATAGCTGGGGATAAATGGACGGCAAGCTGCAGAACCAGGGCTGGAATGGTGAAATTCCTTACTACACCTTGTAGCTACTGCACAGACAGTACTTGCAGGGAGATGTACCATGATCTCTAGGAGCTGAGTGCTTCAGCTTTCAGGACAGGGAGTTACTGGTGTCTTTCCTAGTGGGAAGAGATGGATTCCAACCCACTGATGCTAGCAGGAACTTTTGATTTAGCCATCTGTCAGAGGAGAGCTCAAGGTAGAACTGGTTAGAATGGAATGCCTTGCACATTTGAGCTGCTGTGAAAAGCCCAGTACTCCATGAAAGAAAGACTGGGCCCTCATGAAGTAAAATTTCATGACCATTGCCTGCCCCTGGGTCCATTCTAGCACACACAGCCAACCCAAGGCATCTATTTTTATTTTATCTAATTCTGGTTGGAGTGTTTTCAGAAAAGGCTGAAAAAGAGCTAAGGCGGGACAAAAATGGCATAATTTCTGGTACAATGAGAGAACCTGTCTTTTTGGGCTGTACTTACCTTCCTTGGATACTTGTATGGTGCAGTCACCTTCTTGACATGTTGTTGAAGGTCATGAATTAATTTTTTTTGATCATGTGACGCAAAAGCAGGAGCTAAAACAATGAAGGCTTTGACCACCTGTGCCACAAAAAGGAAGGGGTTCCATTAACTTCCACAGCTGGCAGTAAAGAGATATATTTGATGTGAAAAGCTAGTGTCAAAATTCAGAATGCCAAAATTTGATCTTTTTCCTTAATTTCCCTTTTCATTAGCTGTTTGTTATCAACTACTGTGCTATGAAGGACCCATTCTGGAGCAGAGAATGTTTTGCTATTTTCCACTTTTTTTCTAACTTTATATATTATTAAACTTTCAAAAAGTTCTAGTATAGAAAATAAAGAGAGTTTAAAATATTGTCCCAGTTGCTCAAAGAAATGTTGCAAAGTTGGAAAAATATAAAGCAAAAATTCAACACTCTGGGTATCATTGCCACCATATGCTTATTGGTAAAGGAAAAATAATCAAAATTTCACTGCTTAGACAAGAAGGTCACATGATTAGTCTGAAAAATCAAATTTTCTTCCCACGAAAAACATTGCAATTAAATAATTCTGATATTGTAAGATGTGTCAAGGTATGGATTTTAAAAATGTTTACGGCCACCTAATTTCAAAAGTCTGCAACACTGAATCCCAAGGAAGCCTAGTACATACAAGGAAGTTGATACTTAGCACAAAGGGTATTTCTTTCACATTTTTTCCCTAGTTTGTTTTACCTCCCCTCGCTCTGGGTCGGGACTGCTGACAACAGCCACCTCTGCGACTGCTGGGTGCTCTATCAATGCACTCTCCACCTCAAAGGGGCCAATGCGGTACCTGGGAGCACAGAGACACCTCAGCCAGCAGCACGGACCAGCCCTCTGGGCTTTCCAGGCTGCATTTCATGAGGCAGATCTAAAAGGAAGTGCCTTACCCAGCAGAGTTAATGATATCATCAGCTCTTCCAACAAACGAGATATATCCCTCTTCATCCATAACGCCTCTGTCCCCGGTGACATAAAAATCTCCTTGCACAGAGGCAGCAGTTTTCTCTGGATTATCCTGGCAACAATCAAACATTTCCAGAAAAGTATCTTATTGTTAGTGAATTGTAATGCATTTCCTTAACAGTGATGACTAAAAATGAACAAAAAATGGTACTCAAAATGAGTGTGTTCAATACAGCTTTATATTTTCACTGAGGTGTCACTACCTCCGAGCCACATGCTCATCTCCTTGTGAGGGGTTTGTGCTGTAGCTTGTGTTTGTGCTGTTGATCTTGTGCACATGTTGTGTGTGACAGGCATCTGTACAGAGGTTTCTCTGACTGCAGTGCCTGATGGAATGGGGGTACCTCTGACAGTGGTATGAGGGAATAAAATACCTGTGCCTTGGAAAGCCTCCCTGAGCTTCTGTTGTATAAGAGTAGAATTTATGGGCTTTCTTCAGTAACGTTTAACCAAAGATAGGAATGGAACAGAGGGAATAATGGTGCTCTGAACATGAAGCAGATGGCACATATCTGGAACAAGGTATCCCCTGGTTCACGTTCCGTTTTGAAGCTACACTCTGTCAGTCAGTCTGTTCCTGAAACTATGCACTGATCAGGCTCAAAGTCCTGAAGTAACCCAGTGAGACTTTCTGAGGATCCTGCATGGGATTCTGCTCCTGGCAGACCTTTGCCCTGAGTCTCTCCTGAGCCCCTCAACAGACACAGACACAGCAGGTCAGGCTCACCAAGTACTCAGAGAACAGGCAGAAGGGTCGTGTGGGTTTCACTCGGATGGCAATGGTGCCCTCTTCTCCTTTAGGCACAACAGCCCCATGGTCATCTACGATCTGCAGAAGGGACAGACACAGCAGGGGTGCTTTGATCAGCTCAGAGGAACATGTGCTGCAGCTCAGTGCAGGGCACAGAAGGGACACAGACAGCACTGCCTTCTGTTCTGCCCACAACTGCCTCCTACCTGCACATCATAAGGAGGAACAGGTTTTCCCAAAGAGCCAGGTTTAATTTTCATTCCTTTCAGATTGGCACAGATTGTCACCTGCAGAATAGATTTTTAAAAGATTTTTTAAATAATTGTTGCAGCTTCTTGTAAATTTTATTATTGTTTGCATTAGACAGGACTCCTCCTTGTGACTTTGTTGTGACAAGGGCTGAATCAGGACCAAAGCGCTGTGGTTCTCAAGAACATCAGTCTGGGATGAGAGCTGCTTTAATATTTTTCATTAAAACCTCACACAGGACAAATTGTTACCCAGAGCAAATAATAAATTTTAGTTTTGCTTTTGAAGTAAAGATGGTGAAGGGTTTTACTACCAGTAATAACATTTATTGTAAACATACTGTTTCAGTCTGGCCATAACCTTCATGGATATCCACCCCTGTCTGGATTTTCCACTTTGCCAACACTTCAGGATTGAGTGCTTCCCCTCCAGTTACACAGTGCTTCAGACTTGGGAACTTGTAGCTTGAGAGAAAGAGCAGATAAAATAATTTTCTTAACTCTTGCGAAGAACAGTAAATAGATTTAACCAAACAGCCTCCTTCAGCTTTCCAAAAAGGAAGGACACCTAAAAATTCACAAGCTCCTTTGGAAATGATAATCATCATCCTGTTATGAACACCTTGACTAGAATCCTAGTCTGCTTGAGTTGCCACTGAAGATGATGTGGTTTATGCATGTGTCAACAGAAGTAGGTTTTTCTACTGGAATATGCATGAGCAAAAGTGTTTCCTTGGGAGAACTGTTCATAAAAGGAGAAATATGAACAAGCACGTCAGATATGTGTGGAAAGCTGAGTTATGTGCCAACATCTAAGATCAGATATAACAAAGAGAATTTTCTAGAGCAAAAGGAAGGATGAATAGATATACAGAAGCTGAGCTCTGCTAAATCTGGGTTGGCTTTTTGCAGGATGAAAACCTCTGTGACAAGAATGAGTGCCTTACCAAAGATGTGGAAACTTCTTGCAAACGACTTCTCACAAGCTGGGTATTTTACAGGAAGAACAGCTGCCAAATAACTCTCAGCATGTGGAACTCCTCTAACTGCTCCCTTCATTCCCAAACATGTGAGAACAACTCCATGGTGCACCAGTAACTCCCTGATCCAATGCTGCCTAAATCATTGACTTAAATTGAACTGTGAAGCCTAAGTTCAGAGGAAGTAATAGCTTAAAAAAATCTCCTCTCTTTCCTCTGTGCTGTCTATTCAAAGACCCAGTCCTGAAGTCCAAGTAGCCTATGGTGTGGCTAATTCTTCTCACATTTCAAAACTGAGAGCCTTCTTTACTGAGAGCAAACTTTGCTAATTAGGTTTCCTTGAACTGAAAAAGAGAATTAAGGAGCCTAAGGAGCTAACCTTGCAGAGCTGTCCCAGCAGTATACCCCAGCCTCCCTCCCCTCCCTGCTGTACCTGCTCACATCATGTTTGACCAGCATGAGGAAGGCAGTGGGAGCTGTGCAGAAGGTGGTGATGGGATATCTTGACAGAGTCTAGAAAAATAGGAAGTTATTGTGCTGAAAACCTTGTGAATGTGCAGGTGATTAACAAAAAAGGTCAATTTTGAGGGGCATCAATCAGCTGATTGGTTTAAAGTGACTTAAGGGAGGAATAAGCACTCTGGCAACTCACTGAAAATTCAGAAATATAGAGCCTTAATTCAGGTTTACGCCTTATTCTGAATACTGGCCCATACTCAGCCTGACCCCAAAGCAGCTGGAAGTCCATACCTGAAGTAAGGTTTAGGTTCAATATTGGACAATACAGCAGTGATCCCAAGATCTTTATATCCTGCATCTTTATCCAATTCTTCTCTACACTTGAACAATGACACATGGCCTAACCAGGAGGGAAAACACTTGTTCCTTGATCTTAATGGGCACCAAATGGAGAGATGATTCCTTGGGTGTGGGAAGTACTATCCCTGCTGCTACTAATCAATGGTACCCATGGACTAAAGCTCAGTTTGTTTTTTTCACTTTTGAACAATGGAAATAAATATCACAGTATAAGATATTAAGCTTACCTCTGCAATAACTTCTGGTTTAAACTGTGGCATATTGTGTACAAAGACACAAGATCCACAGATCCATGGTGAAAAAACACTGCTCCAAGCTGCTTTTACCCAGCCAGTATCAGAGGTATTCCACAATATATCTGAAGGAGTCAAGTTCAACCAATACCTGATGAAAAAGCAGAGATGAAAGAAATAATGCAGAGAATGTGAGAGACTCAGGTCCAGGTCACAGCAGGAGGCTTCCATTAGAAGATGGTGTCAGCAAGTAGGGCTCTGTAGAAAGTTTGAGAGAGTTGAAGAGTCTTAAATATTCTCTGATTTCCCTTCCTTCCCTCCTGCTTAACATTTTGAGCATTTATTTTTCCTGTGAGCAGTGCAAAACATCTGTATCTTGAGTTGCAGAATCTGGATCTAGAACAGAACCCAAACAGATCATCTGAGTAGGCTTTCCCTACCTGGTGCAGTTGAGACATCAGCTAAGTCACAGCTCATTTCTCCAGGAAACTAAACAAGTTACTTCTCTGGACCCTTGATCACCAGCTTCCAACTCAGAATGCTTTGGGAAAGGTATCCTTTAACTTTCAAGATGAGGAAGAGGCAAGATCCCACAGTCATGAGATGCCTGCATTTACTGGAATGTTACGGCCTCAGGTTCAGTTTAATGCTCATCACAGCACTCAGTCAGGACCCTGGGAGGAGCTGCAAGGTAATACCTGCCACTGACTGCAAATCCAATGCCGTAACTGCTGTGGGAGTGCAGCACCATTTTTGGGAAGCCTGTAGTTCCACTGGTAAAATAGATCAGCATTGGGTCTTGACTCCTTGTCTTGACACACTGGTGGTCAGCAGATGCAACCCTTCAGAAGAAATGATATATTCCAGTCACTACATGCAGTTTTCCACCAGGCCAACAGCATTTTTATAGTTTAGGAGTTCAACAGGAAAATTTCCCCAACGTGAACAATCTCAGTAAATAAGTGGTAACACAGGTAACAACAGTTAGAGAGCACATTTTGCTTGTAACAAGTGTGTCCTGTATGCCAGCACTTTTAAGATATGAGCACCTACAGAATATTTCAGTGACTTTGTCCTCAACTGTTTTAGCAAGGGCACTCCAGATGCTGATTATGGAAGAGCAGCCAGAAATCAGTGTCTGCCTCACACAAGCAAAAACCAGTTAGGAAATCGATAACTACGGTTATTGTGCAAGTACATTAATCTTATTACAAATAGTAGATCATTCATGTTCAAGAGACTGATGGATAATTCAGATCCTCTGAGCTCCCAGGATAGCATAGGGAAGAAAGAACTGAGCACCAAGAGCTAGCAATATTTTCCCTTTTAATCAAGAGCCATTAGAATGGGCTCCAGCAGACAAGCTCATAACAATTGTTTAGAACTTTGTGAGCTTGTGTGGTGATCACAGTAGAGAGCTTCTAAAACCTGGCAGGCTGCTAAGTGAAGCTGAAGAACATGAACTAAGTCCCAAAACCTGGATTGGATGAACGTCTACCAGTATAATCACAAGAAAGGGAGCTGATAGAGGAATGCAAATATGTAACTCATTTGTATTTTGAAAATTACCCCCACAAGTCAGCAATGTCACCTGACTGATACAGCTCCCTTCACCTCAAAGAACTGAGAAGAAAAGAGCTGGATACTAGAGATCCAGGGGCTCTGTGGTTCTTAGTTGACAGCTGGGGTTAAGCTACAACTCAGTGTCTATAAAATAAAAGACAAATACTACCTTTTCCAGTCGTGCCCATTCATCTAAGACATCACTTGCAAAGTTGAAATATTCTGGCAGTTCCTTTTTACCCTGGTTTATAGATTCATAATGGGAAGTAATCTGAGATGTAAGAAGCCTGTTGTTTCCATGGAATGTTCTGGAAGGTGACCTGAGAATCCACAAACACTGAGGAATCCAGGATTTAAGAAATGTTCTCATGATAAATGATGTTTTATCAGATGGTGAGGGGAAGGAATCAGGCGTGCACCTAAGGAATCAGTCACCTGGAATGAAAGAAAATACATTTAAAACCAGACAGTTATTGGATGCTGTCTAGTTTCTCATGCTGGATGAATTAATGCAAACCAGCTTGAATAAATAGGTTGTTTGAACACATCCATGTTTTCCCTATTGTTTTATGTTGCTTCTTTTCTTGTAAAGGGATTGTGCACTGCTTTTCATTAGAATATTTGTCCTCTACTTTGTCAGCTGATGAATGACCCTCATATCTCATCTCTAAAATTTCACTTGCCATTCCTTTTCTCAATATCTATGTCTGGATTCCTGTAAATTTTATGTTACTTTGCCTGCTTACAGAAATGAAATACCACTACTTTTGAAGGGTTTTAGGAGACTATCACCTTGACTTAAAACTGTCTCTGTAATTATGTTATACCCTAAACCTGCACTAGATGGCGAGTCACACTGAATTTATGCACCAATAAAACTGATGAATCTCTGATTTATTTTCTTATAAGTTCTATTTCCTTTGAGGGCATGGAATAAACACAAAATAGACAGTAGGTGAGCAAAGGTGAAGTGCCAAAGACTTCCATTTGCTTTGCACTTCAGCTGAAGTGTGAAGCTTGGGAAAAGATACATGTTGTAAAATAAACTTGCAAAGAAAGTGCCAACATTTCCAGTTTCTCCTAGTCTTTCCTACACAACATACAGGTACATGTGGAAGAGACAGAATGGATAACGCTACAGGTATTTAAAGCCCAGCCCTGAAAGTCAAGAAAACTGGATTTTCACTCACAGGACCTTAATCATCAGATAAACTTGTTTTGAGTGTAATTAAGTCCTTAAGGATGTACCTATATATCTGAGGGATTTTTTACTCAATTCTATAAAATCAGCTTAGCTTTTAAACTTTTTTGTGCCATGATGTTGTCCTTATTTAACAGCCAGCAGTACATACCTGTCTCCCAGGGATTCTATGCAGTTTCTCTCACCTTTGCATTATTTATTGCAAGTGTAGGAGTAGTGAGAGGTTCCAGTGCTCAGTGCCAATAAATAACAGTAAGTGGCATCACTCTGAAATCACTGTATTTGTGAGGCAAACCAGAGAAATTGAGACAGAAGGTGCACGTCAGGCAATCTCAATGGTTCTTGGCCACTTATTTGACAGGGTGTGAGTGGTAACTAAGTAGAAGGCTCTAGAATATTATTGATCCTGAATCCAATGTTTCCTGCTGACTGGACTGTGACTTCTGCAGGGGGCAGGTTTTCCACATTTCTCAAACTGCAAAGCACAAAAGGAAAGCCAAAGCTAGCTAGCACTGATGAAGAAATACACAGAATGTGGTCTTATCTGCTCTGTGTCTAACAGAAAACATTGTTCTCCACCAGTTCAGTTCCATTAAATCTCACTCCTTTCCTCATTGCACATCTGTCCTGGCAGGATGGACTGTTGTATGATCCTCCTTTTTTCTGCAGTTTCCTTTCAGTACATTGAGGTTAGAAACCCTCTCCATGATGGAGCCTATTTCCTGGTAGGAGGTTTCCAGGAGGGATTTAAGTTGATGGCTATTTGTTTTAGTGACAGACAGGGGAAAACCAGATCTCTCAGCAAATGGTTTTGTCATCCTAGGTTTGTTCTGGGAGCCTTAGGCTGTGCTCTGAGCTCAAATAACTGCGTGCCCAGCTCAAACAGGCCTTGTTAGTTTTGGTTTTGTCATCCTAGGTTTGTTCTGGGAGCCTTAGGCTGTGCTCTGAGCTCAAACACTGCTTGCCCAGCTCAAACAGGCCTTGTTAGTTTCAACCTGCAATTCTGAGAGATGCTTTTTAACCTTACTAGTATGTTACTTGAAAGACATCTTTGAAAAGAGCTGTTGTGAAGAGAAAGAGACCACAAAGTCAAATGGGAGAAGCTTATCTTTCTGCTTGTTTTTCTCCTTTAGTACCTGATTGCTGAATCTGTATTTATGTGTGATCTTATCTTGCCAGCAGCCTGACCACACAGCTCCTGATTGCATTAGGCACGCTCTGCCAGTGCCAATGGAACACATCTCAAGGTGCATTACAACACAAAGCTTCGGAGCCTGGTAGAAAAGAGTTTGCTGGAAACCAAGTCCCACTCACAGCAGGCATGAAGACAGAATAAATTGCAGCAATATGCCCCCCAAGAGCCTTCACCCACAGAAAATGGAGGCTGCCACATCAACCCCCATTATGAACATTCCTTCTTTTTACTGGTGCCCTCCTGAATAAAAAGTCTGCTAAAGGCACAAAGTGCAAAGAATACTTGCTGCTCCTCAAGAAGAAAGAATGAATCATTATTGAAGGAATTTCTTCTTGATTTTACTAATCCAGACCCACCTGTTGTCAAGTCAGCTCTGTCCTTCATGCCACTGAAATACTCTGTCCTTTGTGACTGGTCTCCTCTATCAGCTACAGCTCTGGGGGTAAAGTTCACAAATTTCATCAGAGTTTAAGGGTCAAAGATATTTCTGCTACAACTGTAGACTGGCAGGTATTTACAGAAATAATTCCATAGTAATTGAAGGAATTCCAGAATCTCAATATTTCTGTAAAATATTTTTTTAAATGTTCTGAAAGGGCTGTCTTGGGAGGCCTCGTAGTTCACATGCACAGCTGATAGCAATCCTAAGGATGAACTGGTACATTTAGCCCCTTCCATTTATTGCACAGACTCTGTGACCACTGAAAACCAATTGCAAAACCTTCTGGTTTAACCCACAAAGTAGTATCTTACTTGAGCTACAACTTGGCACTTAAGTACAGAGGGGCCTCATAGACAAGTCATCAAAGAGTTACAGACATTAAAATTACCTGTGCAAAGAAATGAGAGTTCTCCCCTGACTTCAGCACACTCTCAGCCCCACAATTAGTAGATCCATAAGTGCAAGAGACAAGCAAACCTGAGGCAGAGGAGCAGCCCTCAAATACTGTTCCAGGTACCTGAGCTTTGTCTGCAGCCCTGACAAGAGAAGGGTTTCTAATTACACCAGCACACTTGGAATCCACTGGTGCTTCTGTAGGCATTTCCTCCTGTGCTCTCTCACCTTCTCCTGGGGTTGTTTATTTTCAGACACAGTAAACCCAACTTCCCCATACTTCTTCCCAACTCCTCCACCCCTGAACCACTACTAAAGATGGGGAAGTACTTAACTAATTTAATCTTCCCATGGAAAGGTGCAGTTGGCTCCACTGGTGGTGGACTTATCAACCTTATCAGCCTCTTGGTCTGGCTGATACAGCTGCAGACATTTGAGCAGCAAACCCTACTGCTTAATGCTGCTTTGTTTCTTTCTTTCTCAGTATCTGGATAAAGGCAGGACAAGATGAGGACACATCCATTTTCCCTTCTTCTATTGTTGTTTCTCACAGGCTTCCTGGCAGCAGACAGCATAAGCCCAAATGAAGCAAAGCTAAAGAAAACCAAGCTCCCCAAAATAAAGAAGGAGAATCATGTCCTTCTGCTGAAAAAGAGCAACTTTGACAGAGCATTGAAGGAAACCAAATACCTCCTGGTGAAGTTCTGTGAGTATCAATTTCCCCTCCCTTACCCTGGTGGCTCTGCAGAGAATGACTGATGTTGGGGCACTCAAGACTGCTTGTTTTACCATTGCTTTGTCCCCTAGTAGTCCTTGTTTGTTTTGGTTTCCTCTACGTATCTATTTCTGATCGTAACTACAGTAATTTATTCTTTTTTGGGTGGTTAAATACCAGTCTGCTACATAAGACAGTGCTGAGTTGGCATTCTTTGCTTCCATTGCCTAATTCTGCAAGTCTGTGTTTCACAGCAGTGATGGGTAAAACATATTTTAAAAAAAACCCAACCAAACAAAAGTTAATCAGAGAGTGCTTTTCTCCCTC